TGTGTGTGTGTGTGTGTGTGTGTGTGTGTGTGTGTGTGTGTGTGTGTAGACTTATTAATTAAACAAAAAGAGGTCATGAGTTTGAAAGGAGTATCACAGGGTGTTTGGAGGGAGGAGAGTAAAAGGAGAAAGGACACAAAAACAGTACATACATATGAAGTAAAAATAGAAGGATTACTTTTCTAGTCTATATATTTTAAACAGTAAAACAAAATCAACAGGCATAAGCTTTGATTGACAGCCCCAAATATATTTTTAAAAGAGCAATTGTTTATTTTCTTTTCAAATGAGTGACTGGTTTAAACTTATTTTATCGGTGAATTTAAGAGTTCTGTTTGACATTACTGGAAGAGTCATCTCAATATTACTGCAGTATTATTTACTGTGGCAGATTATTGGCAGCAACGAAAACTGTCAATCTTCTGAAAAGAAAAAAATGGCAGCACTGCATCTGTTCATAATTTAATTGTTTTTTTAAAGTAAATTGTTGAAATTGTGGAGGGAGAAGGATTTCAAGATGGCTTCCCAACACATTGGTCATTTCCCATTCCATCACCCGCCATTCTTCCTTTTTCTGGTGTTGCTTCCTACTTGGACATACGTGCTTTGGTTCATGATTTGACTTTCCTAGAATTTTAATTGTCTTTCTTTTGTCCCAGTTACTATGAAACTTTGGTATATCCTCAAATCTTTCCATTATTCTAGCTAACTCTTTTGAGTCCCCTTATCTCCTCCCTTGAGTCCGCTGCCCAGAGACCTCTGTCTTCTTGTTCTGCGGTAGTTACTCTCTGGCCTCAGTGCCTGCCTTCATTGTCTTGTTTTCTCTGCTTTGAATCTCTTACAAACAGATGGATGTGAGCTCTCATTTGGTTTATGGTTTTGTTTGTAGTACACTCATGCATAGCTGCCCAGAGAGAGATCGGTGAGAACCAAACTGGCAGCCCTTGACTGATTCCTTTGTTTGCGTAATCACTGGATGAGCTGTGATACACTAAATTGAGCAATTGTTTCCCCACAGACATTTCCCTAATTTGCTGGAATCCATTGTTGATCTGAAGACAGCTGACAGTCTGGCCTGACCTGTAGGCCTTCATAATGAATTCTTTCCTTGATTTTTCTCTCTTTATATCCATTTTATTTTTCTGACTTTCATTTACAATAAAGTGTGATTTGTTTCCTTAGTCTAGTGATTATGTCACCAAAATTCATAACTGTTCTAACCCTTTCTTCCTTTCCTATCTTTGTGTGTTTTCAAACTAAAATGTATGTCAGGTAGATATTTGTCATTTTAAAATCATCCATAAGTCACTCATCTACTTGACTATAATCTTCTCTCAGTCCTGTTATTCATTGTTCTTTCATACTTGAAGATGCGTCACCGACTTACGTTCAATCACTCAGTTGTTTCATTTTTACTTTTAGGTATCACACTTTTAGTATTCCATGCCTCTTTTTTATGCTCTACTTTTCCTCTTAAGCAACTCAGAAGTGAGACTGGGCAAATAAATAGCTCAACAGATAAAGCACTTGTCATGCAAGACTGAGACTCAGAGTTCAGATCCCCAGGACCCATGTAATTGGCAGCTGGGCCTAGTGACCCACCCTGAATCCCAGGAAGAGAGTAGACACAAGGCCTTCCCAGTAAGCTACCTAGACTAGGGGAACCTAAATATGTCGGGTTTAATAGAACTTTCTGTGATGAAGGTTCACACAGATAAGGCCATTAACTCTACAGGAAGGACAGCCAATCCAGAAAAGGGTACTGGCGATACTGGATATTTATCTACAGAAGAATAAAATTAAATCCATATGTCCTGCCCTCACACAGAAAATAATTCAAAGGGAACGAAAGACCTTAATTTAAAACCAGAAACACTAAACAGCTACAAGAAAACATAGAAAAAAAAACATTTCAAAATAAAGGTGCAGTGGCTCAGGGGAATCTCCCAGGAGTCTATGGGGAGGACCCCAGGTTAGATTTCTAGCAATAGTGGATTAGTAGCCTGAACTGGCCATCTCCTGTGACCAGATTGGTGCCTGGCCCAATTGTCATCAGAGAAGTGTCACCCAGCAACTGATGGAGGCAGATGCAGAGACCCACAGCCAAACATTAGACAGAGTTTGGGAATCCTGCAGAGGAGGAGGAGAAAGGAGCATAGGAGCCAGAGGGGTCAAGGACACCACCACCGGAAGACTCACACAAGCAACTAGCCTGAGCTCATAGGAGCTCACAGACTGAAGCAACAACCAGGGAGTCTGCATGGGACTGACCTATGTACTCTGAATGTACGTTATAGTTGTGTAGCTTGGTCCTCTTGTGAGACTCCTAATAGAGGGAATAGGGGTTGTCTCCAACACTTTTACTGGCTTTTGGGACCCTACTTCTCATACTGGGTCGCCTTGCCCAACCTTAATAGTTGGGGAGGTGCTTAGCCTTGCTGCAACTTGACATGTGTTTGTTTTTTGTTTTTGTTTTTGGCGGGAGTTGGGGGAACAGGTTTCGAGACAGGGTTTCTCTGTGTAGCTTTGGAATCTGTCCTGGAACTCGTTCTGTAGACCAGGCTGGCCTTGAACTCAGAGATCCACATGCCTCTGTCTCTCGAGTTCTGAGATTAAATGCATGCACTACCACTGCCCAGTTGATATGCCATGTTTTATTGATACTCATGGGAGATCTGCCCTTTCCTAGATGGAGACAGAAGAGGAGAAGATTGGAGCTTGGGGGGGGAATGGAGGAGGGAGGCTGGGAGGAGAAGACTGGGTGAGGCAGCAGCCAGGATGTAAAATAAATATATAAAAAATAATACTGTCTTCCAAATATAATTAGTTTTTTATTATAATTATTAGGAAAGATTTACTTTCCTTATTATTGTTTTTATTTTTCAGTCTCAGTTCCGAGACTTACTATAATGAACAAGAAGACATTTCTGAAGCAAAGATGATAAAAATGACATAATTTGGGAAAACAAATGGTTATTTATTTGACTACGGTTATTGAGATGACATACACTGTTTATCAAAAAAAACCACCAAATTAAGCCAGAAAAATTTGCAGTAAGTTTGATTCTAGATAACCCATAGCAATTTTAGTAAAATAGAAACTTTCCAGACAAGAACTACTACTCTACATGGCTTCTAGAAGGGCCATGGACTCGGACTCACAATGACTACTCCTCAGAATTAACACATGACTTTAATACTTCCTACTCTTTTGCAGAGAGAATAAGCTCCACTTACTAGATAAAAGAAACATAACTTGTTCAATGTTATTCAATATTGTCTTCTATTGTTCCCATTTAATGTCATGAATCTCTGTGCATTAGTTACACTCTATTCTGTGACTATAATAGCTATAGTTTTTATCGATATATACAAAATATATATGTGCACATATATGTGTGCATACAAGGATTTGGGGAACAAGACTTCAACTGCACAGGGAAAATCCCAAGGATTAGGATTAACAAATGAAACTCCATGAAATTATAAGTTTCTGTACCACAAATTAGGAAAACAACCCACAGAAAGGGAAAAAATATTTATCAGCTATACTTTAAACAGCATGTTAATATCTAGAATATATTTTTCAAAAAATTGAAAAGTTTAAGTATCATGAGCTGGAAAGATTTCTCAGCAGTTGACAGCATTGGCTGTGCCTCCAGAGAACCTGGGTTGGATTCCCATCACCCACTGACATCTGTCTATAACTCCACCATATCTGACCCCTCTTCTGACCTCTGCAGGAACTCCATGCATGTGTACATGAGTGCACATGAACTCAAAACACCCAAACACATAAAATAAAATTTTAGATAAAAATAAATAATAATTTTTAAAGTACCACACAAATAAAACTCCCGGTTAAGACAGGCTGATGAACGAAAGAAACCTTTCTCAAACAAAGGACACGAATGGCCAATAAGTATTTTAAATTGTTCTAATCTTCTAGCCAACAGGGGGATGCAAATTAGGACTACCTGACAAGTCCAACCCACTCCAGTCAAAATGACAGTCATCAAGAAAACAAAGGACAACAATTACGGAGAGGATGTGAGGAAACAGAAACACTTATTCACTGATAGGGCAGTGGAAGCTAATGCAGACCCATGGAGAGAAAGTGTGGAGAGTTCTCAAAAAATAAAAACACAGCAAATGGAAGCACCAAGTGATGCAGTTAAGCCACTCATGGGCCCCTTCCCAAAGGGTTCTATATCCTAGCACACAGATACTTGCATACCCATGTTGATTTCTGCTGTATTTATGATAGTGGAGAAATGGGACCAGTCTAGCTGCCTATCAGTCCATAAATGGATAATGAAAGTTTCATACACATATATGTACATATCTTTTATACATACATAATATATATATTTACTTATTTATTTATATACACACAATGGAATTTTACTCAACTGTTGAGAAAAATTAAATTTTTAGAAAAATGGGTTACATCTTAAAATAAGTATTAATTAAGCAAGGTGACCTAGACTCATAAAGACAGACATGTGTGTTCTCTCTCAAATGCAGAGGCTGGCTTCAGTGTGCATATATATAGGTAAGTATATGGGTATAGGCCACAAAAAAAGAAAGGAGAGTATGAGAACATGGCAAGGAGGTGCTGAGGAAGAGAAGGAAAGAACTAGAACATATACTATATAACCAGAAAGGAGGGAGATGGGCATAGAAGGCTAGAAAGGAGACTAAGGGGATCGGGGAGAGAATTAGGGAAGAAGACCAACTAAAAAAAATGCCATAATGGAATCCAATATCTTGCATGCTAAAAAATTAGAAGAAAAGATTAAAATATGATCTTCTGACTGGGCAACTGGGATTTTGCCTTATTCTTTATTAACTTATATAGTCACCTGTGACTGACAGATGCCACCACACTTCACACTGCAGCAACAGCGCTTATATTTTCTTTTCTACCAAATAAGGAGATATGGTATGTTATTATGTTAAAAGTCTAAATGTAGCCAAAAATGTATCTGACATGCTATAGCTACTTCTGGTTATCTAGCTATCAAACCAAAATGTTTTAAAAAATGTCATATTTTATAAGTCCAGAGCTGAACATGCGTGAAGACTCCCATTGCCTTCAAGTATCTCTCCTGCCATGTTAGTAGTCATTTCCCTTCTGTGTCTCAAAGTCCTAAAGTACTCAGTGAAGGCAGTTATGCACAAGTTGTAAGCTTGTGGAGGAAAGCAATCATTTGAGACTCATGTTGAACCCTCAGATAAACATGAACCGCTATTTTTTTTCTATATGGTGACAAAGAATAGGTGCTACAGAGGTGGTCAGGAACAAAAGCAAGAGCCATGTCATTTGTTGAATGCATTGAAACAATAAGATCATACCCTAGTCATAATAAGATTAGTAAGGGTCTTCCATTTAAAGAAATTTTACTTTAAGAAAGTCTGTCATCTTAATCATTCAGAGTCTCCACATTCTCTAGACATTGTGGGGCTATTGGGCAAATGACCAAATAGTTTGCTCTTGACTGGATTATGGGTGTGTAAGACAGGAAGAAACACAATCAGATAAAAGGTTTCCTATTTGTTAATGGCTTGTGAAATCTGTCCATGATTCTGCATTTTACTTTTTAATTTAATTATTTATTTTATAGCCAAGACCAAAAAGCTATTTAAAGGGTCAAAATGTTCCTGTTTGGCAAAATATTTACAAATCTTTGACATTTTCACTAATCCTCAGAGAACACAATGTATCATTCCATAGATGTGCTTTTGCCCTTACACAAGTTGAGTGTTTAAGACAATGGTGAGTGGCTAATATCACGGAGGGCTTCTGTCATGAGCCTATCTTACATTCCTCATTATATTACCAAAGCCAAATTCAAATCCATGAGCATTAACCTCAAGCACTTGGGGCTACAGTAACTTGCATTAGATAAAGAAATAAAGTATTTTAGATACACATCAACACTTTTGAAAGTAACCCAAGGATAATGAAATAATATACCTTAAGAACTTATTAACATAGTATTTGTAAAAAGAGCTAAAGAGAAAGGGGTTTCTTCAAAACAAAAACTCATGAAGAAAGTGAAAAAGAATCGATAAGAAAAGAAAAGGAAAAAAAGAAAAGAAAAAACTCTGAGAAGTTTTGTGCCTTTGTTCATACATGTTATTTATTTGTTAGGGTGAGTTCTAGAGAAGAACAAATCCTGTCTGAAGCACACGCGTGAGGCTTTGTTAATGTTCTCCCAGGGCAGAGTTTAACCACAGTAATCAATTACATCCTGCATTCCAATTTGCATTCATTAAGATGCAATTTTTAAAATGGTTGTAAGGGTGGATGCCTCTTCTAGAACTTCCCAGCTAGCCACGGTTTCACATTCCTGAAAACACAGTCTCTGCTCTTTGGTAAAAAAGAAAAGAAAGGAAATGTTCTCAGTCCGTCCATCTGCCTTTTGGGTGAAAGCCTGTGAATCGATAAGAACTTGTCTTCTCAGAGCTTCTTCAGCTTTCCCTCCAGTACAGCCTTAGCATATGTGTTATTTGATACAACTGTAGTCATAGAGATGATTTGTGTTTGATAAATAAGTGAAATAAACAGTTACAGAAACACTAGATAGGATAAACTTTACATGTATGAATAGCTTCCTTTCAAACACTACTCTCTTGATCTTGCTTTTTGACCTGTCTCATTAGGTAGCCTCACTGAAAGCAATGAGCATTTTACCTAGTAAACACTTTATTTATTATATGCAATACTGTGAAAGCCTGAAGAAATGATCCGCATGTGTAGAAAGGAAGGTGGTAATGCTGGGGGGATGGAAGGAACAGTCCTAGGGGAAGTGATTTCAAACTACAGACAGACATGAAGATGTATGTACATACTCGAATAATAAGAGATCTTTTGAAAGAAAGAATTGGGAGCTGAAACATCTTTCAATTTGTAATACCACATGTTCCTGTCAATTGCACTCTCTAAAAAGCTACCATGACCATATCCAAAAATGAGCACGAAATCAGTAAACAGCAAAGGAGAGATATGACAAACCTCTCAAAATGCCCTTTACAACAATAGGCAGTGATGTCAATCGTCTGAGCCATTTAATGTCATCCCAGCTGAGAGATGGGTCTATGGCTTGTGCCACATATTCAGCAAGTCCACTGTTGTCTCCGAAATTCCCATTAGGAGAAAATGCCAAATCATTGGTTTCAAAGTTTTTCATCCTAGAATAGATACATAGAATGGGTATTAGAGACAACTTCTGTCTGACTTGGGGAAAAGAAGTGGGGGGAAAGTGCTCCTTTTCTGATAAGTTGCTCGATCACTTTGGGATTGATTGTCTGCAAATTCTCTAGGGCTTGATGTGGGAGTGTGTTCTAACTGTGGCCATGTGATTTCAACTAGCCACCTAAAGCTTTATTTACGTGTGTGTGTGTGTGTGTGTGTGTGTGTGTGTGTGTGAGTTCATTCAGACAATTCAGTCTTAAGGATCAATATGAGACCATGTTCAAACATTTCCTGTTTAAGTCAGTTTACAGCTACAGACAATGGACTGGATGCTATTTTCAAGCAGTTGTACTAATTCAGCATAATAGGAATCATTTGCATGGTGCCTTATTGTTTACGAAGGCCTTTTATATACTTATGTTTGTACATTTCTTTCCTTAAGATCTTTTAGAAGGTAACACTGAATCACTTTGAGTTCCCTTTTATACAAAAGTAACCCAAGTGCAGAATGAGATGGCCAAGAATAAAACTAGCTTAGGGGCATTATTTGGGATCTAGCCTGGGTCATTTGACTGCTAATTATATATTTTTTGCTTAGATGTGCGGTACTGTGGGCATTGATGGGAATCAGGAAGTGCTTCTCAGCACAGGAGTCTTGCCTTTCCCTCCTACATCAGCTGTTGCCTGGTTACTGGCTCAACCTCTGATCTTCCAGAGAATCTTGACAAAAGCCTGGGCTTTCAGGTGCTCACGAAGCACCATCTTTCTTTCTTGTGGTTTTTTCTGGCTGCTGGACTTTCATTACACCCAGCAAACTGCAGGTGTCAACTCATGTCCCTATGGGTAGACTCACTCTGAGATGTAGTGTGTCTGTGTTCCCAGAATGTGCATTCCCATAATGTTCCCATGGGATCTGGGATCAGGCACATGATCAGTTGCCCATGGTTTTATCTATCTTCACAAAACTCCTCATTTGCTGGCTTCCTCTCCTCTACCCACTTCCTTAGATGCTAACAGTCTTTTCCTTCAGGAAGAGCAACTTACACTTGGTCAGTGACTCCATTTTATTCCCAGGGAGCCACAGCCTAGACACACCAACACTGAGCTGGTTGCCTTTTCCTAGTCTAACACATTGATCGAGTTTGACCAAGTGGTTCTCTAACTCACGGCCAGGACTCTACGGCTGGATCACCCTATACTTGGTATCCTTTATCTCGCCCTAACATGGCATTCTTGGCTGTATTTGGACAGTCTCCCACGCTACAGACGAAGTTCATTCTGCTTACAGTTCTGATCACACCACATGGATCGTTGGCAATATGGATACGCAATGGCATCTTCCATGTGGCCGAGCAGCCCACAGTCCACAAAGGCACTTACAAAATCATCAGGTAAAAGTCTTTTCTGAACTAGTTGAAACTCAGCTTGCCCTTCTACACACTTTAGCAGACCAGCTAGCCATTCTTCCTGTGGGTGACAGCTCCGCTGTGTGTCATCTGTGGATTAGTCCCAGCTGATTTGTCCTCCACCAGCTCTGCCAATTAACACGACAAAGATCCTGAAGCCATAACTAAAACTGCATGTCAACAGATGGCAACATCTATGACTTCTTTTTTTTTAATTTATTTTAGATCTTCTTTTCATATTTAACTGGTTGATACTTAGTTGCCACCTTAGGCTGTTTCCGCTGAAATGACTGCTAGAGTAGTTAGGGTGCGGAGATCACGCCCTGGACGTGGACTTTCAAACAACCCTACTCAAGCCACTGTATCAAGGGCAATTTTCTCAGTAGGACTGAACAGCCTCCTATAGATTTATGGATAGAAAGACATAAATAAAACACCACAAATACACGATGTCCAGCTACGTGTTGGCTTTTGATGAAATTCCCGAGCTTTCCATTTGTCAAAATCCTTAGGGTTATGCAGTTGCCACAGCCCTGGGTCTTCTGTGGTCTCCTTAATTCAAATTGAATTAAGCTTTCTGTTCAATAAATGTGTTCTTGGGAGGGAAACCCAGGCCATTACTTCAATGATACTAAGTTTCAAACATAAATAATACTGTTTAAAAAAAAAGGTGCAACCTATCTGTTCCATCCTAAGACCAGGAGAGAAAGGGAAACCATCTACACGTATCCCCCGCCCCCACACCAAACAGGCGGCTGTGTTTCAGCAAGGGTGGGTGAAAGGGTGAAATGGATAGGAAAAAACAGAAACATGGATAAAATTATATAAATGACTGTTGTTATTCTTGGACCGTGCAATGCAGATCAACACTTGAATGAATGCTGCCTTACAGACATCTCAGGGCACAATGAAGCCTTGTTGTTGTTACTGTAAACTTTGTTCAAAGCCAGAAGCCAAGAAAAAGTTTTCAGATATCTTGACAGAGATCCACGATGGAGTGTTTTACCGATGGCTCTCAAAGAAACTGCCATGAATGCTATTTTTATTCCCATTATGACGTGTGTGTGTGTGTGTGTGTGTGTGTGTGTGTGTGTGTGTGTGTGATCCTTAAAGTAGCTTCTGATATTCATTTTGTAGAGGACGAAAAAGACAATACAGAAATAGTAATGCAACTATTTAAAGCTTAATTTTCCCAATCCCAGGCTGATGAACGTCACAAAGAGACCAAATTTCTTCCTTCTAAGGGAATTGTTATTTCTGGGGTGACCTTTAATATAGTTTTTAATCTGACATAGGAATTGGCTTTGATTTTAGTAAGTTAGTATCAAGCAGCAGTAATAACTACTGAAGTAAATATGCTTAAATAACCAATAGTATAATTGATAAGAAGGAGCGTGAATGGTAATATATTATTTTATAAATATTGCTAACGTAACACTAAGGATAAAGCCACATCTCTACACCAAAAACTTCCAAAATAAAGTAAAACAAGATAAAAATCATCTAAGTTCACAATACTATCAAGAGTACGGAAAGAAGAAGAAACTCACAATCTACATGGGATGGGGACAGGCAGCCAGCCTTTCTTCTGTGGTTAGGAAAGCACAGTGTTCAGAACACATCCTGGTCACTTACTCCTCAATGTGGCCAGGTGGTCTAAAGATACACTGAGTCCACAAACTTCAAGTTCTAATCCAGTTCAACTTTTCCCCAGTTGTCTTATATTGGGAAAATTGCATTGGTAAATTCTTTTACGCTGATTAAACAATTGCATGCTAAGCACCTACTATCTACCCCTGTTTTAGACATTTGACATTTAGTGAACGCCAGTAAATAAGAGAACAAACTATCTCCATCCATCACAGAGAATATTGACATGTAGATTGTCGCATTTTTTAGAATCTAGGTACAATGCAAAATGAAAGGACACAATGGGACAGAGTGGGAAGCAAACCAACTGGGGGAGGCCTAAGTTGACATCTGAAGTGTGGCAACAAGGGTAGATTTCATCGCAAAGCTACTACAAAGATGAACTCAATAGGGTTAGGTTTGACTTGTCATTGCTGTTATAACAAATGACCACAAATGCAAAGCCGCACAATGTCACAAGTTTGTGGCCTAGAGATACGGCTTAGCACTGGCTGCTCTTCCAAGACTGAGTTTCGATTCTTGGCACCTACCTCTCAGCTCACGACCGCCTAGTTTCAAGGGACCCAAAGCCCTCTTCTGACCTCAGCGGTACACCATGTAGTACATTTACAGTGGTTACAAAGACCAGAATGGTTCTCGCTGAGCTAAGCTCAGCTCAGAGTGTCCGGGCCTTCTGACTACCTAGGGCAGAACAGACAACCTCACTTGATCTCTCGCTGGGCAGCCCACTTGGACATACGATTCCAAACTCTCCTTTTAACACTTCGACTCCTCCTCCGGCCGACATTTGTGCCTTTCCTAAATAAAAACTCTTCGTTGCATATAATGTCTACTGTGATAAAACTAGGTCACCTCCTGTCTCAAGATCCTTAACTCAATCCCGTCTGGTTTGAGGGTTCGGGTGTGGATACCTTCAGCCTCTGTATGCATTCCTAACAACGATTGGCTTTTGTCACTTTTCTTTAAACTTTCTGGAACTGTGGGGGAGAGGGGCAGACTAATCTTAACCCAGGTAAATTAATCATCTCCTTGGAGCACAGACAAGACAGAAAGCCCCTGCCTCCCAGGCTCCGGAATCTGCGTGATCAACTGGCTTTGCGCCTGCTCCTTCCAGAGTGGAGGATTTCCCTTTTCCCTCTCACTTTCTTGCCAGTTGTAAAGTGCACGCACGCGTATGTTTTGCATATAGACCAAGTGGCCATTACCAACCCTCTGAACTCTCTCTGCTCCCGGGTGCCAAGAGTCAGGGCCCTCCCCTCCACCCGGGGCAGAGGAAGTAGCAAAGGCTGGAAGGAGCCGGGCTTAGCGACTCATTCTCCCCTGGATTTCCTGTCTCCTTCCCTTGCCAAACCTCACTTCTGAAAAGCAGGCTTCACCTTCTATGAGTCATGTCAGTGCAAAAAGAAACTGATTTCATATCGGACTGTTAACCGATGAGTTTTGGGGTGGAGGGTGGTGAATGAAGCCTCCAGCAGAAGGCTTGACCTCCGGTTTGTGTGTTCTGTCTTTCAGAGTGTGTGCCCCTGAGGCGCTTAGCAGAAGCGCTCCCCCGCCCGCCTCGCGCTCAGTGCTGCCCTGCTGCCCCCAGGACAAGCCCCACCAGTGTACAGCCTCGGGTGGAGTGTGCCCAGCTGCAGGATGTTTCCGTATTCCCCGTAACCTGGATGTGTTGCTCGCCATTTGATCATCTTCAGAACAGAACTGTGACAAGCTGGAAACCCAGGGCCACTCCTGTGAACACCAGCAGCTGAAAGGGGTCTTTGTTTCACGGCTACCACATCATCTGGGCAGAAGTCCAGGGGCAAAGGAAAAGGGGGGAGGGAAAGGGCCTGTGGCTCATCATGCAGTCACCTCCGTGCTGAGAAGCGAGGGGTCCCAGCCGGGATACACAAACGTGTCCTGCCCACAAGACTAGATATCCATGCATTTGCTCAGAGCAAGAAGCACAAAGTAAACTCCGTGATTCTTTTACCATCGCTGTTGTTAAGAGCAATGTCATTAGGGGAAAAGGAGAAAGGCCATTCCTTCACAAACGACCAAAGGAAGTAAGGAGTGTTTCCTTTAGGAAACTGTAACAGTGTGAAACTAATTATTTTAGAAAGTCTAAAAAAAAGTAAGTAGGCAGTCAAAATAAAGAAGGTGAACGGAAAAGGTAAGTAGGCATTTTCGAGAGGTTGGAGGTTTGCTTTCTGGTGAATCTGGCAGGGTTAGGGTTATGTTGGCAGCTGCGGTTTTTGTTCTCCTCACCTTACATGGTATCTGGGTAGCCTGCCCACTGAATCCATATGCAGAAATAATATCCCCAAATCTGTCTGGGAGCGACAAGCATTCCCACTAATTACGTCACCGGTTAACACACAACACAACAGCAACGTCTGTAAAGTCTCATTGTGAAGTCTCAGGTATATTGGTGGCTGTGTGAAATGGAATCTGATAATCTTCCACACGACTGTCTATAATGCACACAAAGTTGTACTTCTGATCATCTGTTTCTCCCTATGAGGAACCCTGACGTAAGCTTGGCATCTGTTCATTTTGAATTCTTTCAGAAGGTAGGCATAGGATGCTTTACCTTTATTCCTTTACCTTTCTTTGATCATTAAAATCTTAGTTGTTTCAAAGACAAACAAAATGTAGACAGAGTGGGCAGGGGCCCCTGTGAACAAGCCCTAGACTTCTTGAAAAGCATCCATGGACATTCAACATCAAATGCCACCCACTAAGACAAGGGTTTGCTCTCTGCTCAGATAATATAGTCCCAAGAGATGTCACATACCTGTCACAACGGGTATGCAGTATAAGGGTATTATTACACATTATATTATATTATTATACATATTATTATATTTCAGTATAAAATATAGGAGAAAGCAATGAGGGAAGACACATATGGCTAAGCAAACCTGAAGTCCTTTCTCACTGACTTCCACTGAGGTCTTGGATTTTACTCAAGCTGCTTCTACTCCTAAAAATGCTACAAGGGAAGGGACAATTAAATATTGCTTATAGGTTGAGTGTCTCAATGGAATCATTATAGTTTAGTTTTGGATCACGTGATACACACTTTTTGCTGACATGACGAGTGAGTGGAGAACAAAATCTTGATCCATGGATGAACCGCATACACACAAAACAAAGTAGAAGATGATGGATCAAGTACATGGCTTCTTTTTCCTCCATGTTTTTGTCCTTTTTCTTTTACATCTTCCTAGCTCGCTTTCCTCCTAATACAACTAAAATTAAAATATGAACGTGGGTCTTTGATTTCCATGAAGAAACAGGGTACCAGGATCACAATAAAAAGCTGTAGCCTATACAAAACTCATCTGGATGTTCCCTCGTACAGCCCATGGCCGTAATGCATCCTAGTAATAAAATCTGTCTAATTTTACAATTATATAGTAGTCCCTTCTATTGTAATAGCTCAAATGTGTCACATCTCCAAGCAGCATCACTCGGGAGAGATTGTATAGATCTGTGGTAATGACTAGCTCCAGAACAGAGAACATCTCATTCCCAATGAGTTCCTTTTAATCATGCTTTAAAGCTAATGTCTCTATAGCGATTTACATCTCTATGGTATCTACTTGTCAACTACAAAAAGAAAACAGCAGCTTTTGGAGGTGGCCCATGGAAAGAATAGAGAAACCCCACTCTGGGAATGTGAGATCATACTTACCTGAGTTGTGGCGGCAGCTTGAATCTGTTACGCACATCATCGAAGCGGTTGCCCAGGTAAGGGGTGTCCACAGTCACAAATATTGCCTTGTAACCCATCTGCTCAGCTCGCTTCACTAGCTGCCTGCTGACCTCACGGTCTTTGTAGATGTACAGTTGCATCCAACGAAGTGCCTTGGGGCCGGCTTCTGCCACTTCTTCTATTGAGGAGGTGGCCCAGGAACTCAGCATCATACCTGTTCCCATGGTCTGACAGGCTGGAATAGAAAGGAGAAAAATCAATGCAGGCATGGCACCAGTCCTTTTACTAGACCAGGGTTTCATTCAAAGGGGAAAGAACTCTGTAAATGCAACCTGCCAGCATGAATGCAAATCTTTAAAAATAAATAAGACGTGCATTGATTTTTTTTCACTCTGTATTATTGTGAAAAAGAATAAGTAAGTAACAAAAAATGGCTGCAACTTTAGGTGGAAATAATGAGTTCAACCTGAATGACAGTCTTGAGGAACTGGTTATACTGTCTGTGGTTAGAATATAAAATAAAATACATACAGCCATTAGGCATAGCACTGCTGTGAAGGTTAATTTGATGTGTCAGCTATCCAGGCCATGGTGCCCGGATATTTGGTCAAGCAAATCTGGATGTTACCATGAAGGTTCTTTTAGATGAAATTAGCACTTAAAGTACTGGTAGAAGTGAGTAAAGCAGATTGCCTGCTGTTGTGTGGCCTCATCTGATCTGTTGAAGACTTAAAATATGGCTGCTCTCGCCCAAGAAAGCAAAGGAAATAATCCCAGCTGACTGCCTTTAAAGTTGACATTAATACCACCATTCATAGGGTCTCTAGATTTCTGATTAGTCTGGAGATCTGGGGTTTTAGTGTCTCCATAATTATGTAACCCAAGTCTTAAAAATGAGACTCTCATAAACACAGACAGACAGACAGACAGACAGACAGACAGACAGACAGATAGATAGGGAGATAGATAGACAGACAGACAGACAGGTAGGTATAGATGACAGTGCTATCTGATATCTAGATTTCTATATTGCAGGATAGATCTTAATGATCCCATCTCTCTGGAGAATTCCAGTTGTTCAAATTATAAAATATTTACAGGCATACAAATACAACGAAGATAAATAGGTATATTAAAGTGAAAAGTTCAAAAAAGTAACATGTATGCTATGATTCCACACTTCTACAAATTATAGCTCATCCAAGCAAACTAAACATTAGTGAGCAATAAAATTATGGGTGAGTTCAAGTTTTCCTATATTTCTGAATTTCTTTTTAAAAGTGTTTACTAAGACACATTCTACCCATGTATAAATGTGTGAACAAGATATCAAAAGCAAAGTCATCTTTTTGATTGCAGAAACAATGAATGAGAAAATTGTCTTAGAAGATGTTAAAGGACATTAATGATGGGATTTCCTCCCTAATGATAAGTGAGTTCAGTGAAGGGGAGGCTGATTTGCTGTTTGCATGCTATACAGGAAGTTCCAAGGAATAAAGCATAAATACCCAATGCTGGCTACAGAATCCCAAATCACTCATGACATCTGAATGGTCACCTTGTGTCAAGTGACAGTGAATGTACTTGCCCAAGTGACACTCGTAGGAAGACAACGGGAATCAAGTAAGATGGTGATTATGAAGTTTCTCTGAGAGGTTCAAGAGTTTCTATGCTCAAATTTTAGCCAACAACCAAATCTCCTGGAAATCTTATAAAAGTGGGCCACCTGGTCCCACCTACTATTTCTTACTATGTGGGTCTTCTGTTGTACCCCAAGGATTCAACTAGTCCATACAATACAACGCTGCTGCCATCTATGCTGGAGCACACTTAGACACTGAAATACTAGCATCAGCGGCTGATAGTAAAAGTCTAAGCTCAAATGCTTTTAAATGAATTTCATTTGAAGCCTTCACATCACTTCTCCAATACCCTTGATGGTATCTATATTCCAAACAAGACACGTGAACTGAAGAGCATCACCCCTTTCGGACAACAGTGCTCACCCCAGGAGCTCAGTTGAGCATTTCTATAATGGGTTCTCGGGGCTGCAAACCACTGTCCATAAGAAACACATTTTACTAGGTAATAATACATCTGGATCCTTGTCTTGATGGGGCGTGGTGCTATCGGTAATTAATGATCCACCAGACTAGCTTAATACAAAATATACAGCTTTAATAAACAGAAGGAAGACTTACATCAGAATCCCAACAATCCGTCCGGACACAGGAGCCAGGCGAGAGAGAGCTAGGGGAAGCAAACCCACCAGGTTTATAGGTAAATTTTTGCCTTAGGGCAACACGCCCCACAGACAGAATGTGATTGGCTGAACTCCCCTATCATTGTCTGATTTTCATTAATTTGAAATGTGGGAACAGCACCAGGAGACAGTGAGCACTTGGGTCAGAATATTCTAACCATCACTTCACCACAAAGAGACGATGTTCTGAAGAAGATGTGACCTGACTAATGTCATAAAGGCTGAGCAGCAAGGTAAGACACAAACCCAGTGTGTCTGTTTGTACAGGACTGGTATCCATGAGAGTCTCTGGCAACCAAGCACAGATAAAGGTAGCACCTGATAAAGGGATGAGCAAAGGGGACATTCAGATAATCTGGAACTTTCATGAACTTAGCAGTGCACACAGCTCTGATGATTGTAACACAGAAATCTTCAGACTTTCCTCAGCATGTAAGTATCAATAGGCATTCTACAGAGATTGTGACAATGTTCAAACCATTCACAAACCATATGAACATGAAACCTAATTTGCTCAGGATGTCAGCATTCTTAAACCCTTTCCCACAATCACTTGAGTCCAGATGTTCATGGAGTCCTTGGGCAGCCCATGCCTCCATGACCCTGACCTGCTCTGGAGCTAATGTCTTCTAAGTTCCTTTTTCCTCCAACATGGGGGCTCCAACCCAGGGCATGCTATTCACGAACTTGTCACTGAGCTATGGCCCCAACCACCATGTTTACTTTTCATCAACTAAAACCATAGGGGCTTACATTTGGAATTGAGGCTTGCACATTCTAAGTCACCATCGTTTCTGGTGGCAAGAGTTTGATAAATATCTGTGATTTAACGAGAGTCACCTGGGAGCCGGGGGAATATCAGAATCTGGGCATCGGTGAACCATCTGCTGAGGCGAAGCTTGGAGAAATCGTAAGAAGTTCCATGTTTCCTGAACAAACATGGTTAGTTACACTGATTCCTAGTCACCTGTGATTGCTTGCTGTGTCCAAGGAAGATTACTCATACATTATACCTCTTGGGGTTTTTTTTGACATACGGTCTCATCTTAGAGTAAACTAAGGGCATACAAACTTTTGCAGGGCCCATCTACAACTAGACCTGAAAATGTGTCTATCCAAGTAAGAGCCGATCTGAGAATGGATTGGCCCACGCCAGTTTGGCATTTATACAACAATGTACTGGTTTATATTACAGACCAAACATTATTGCACACGCCTGTTATTCAGCACTGGGGAAGCTGAGGCAGGGGGATTTCAAGTTTGAGGCTAGTCTGGGTTTCCTGGTACAAGAGAACGAGTTGAAGGGCAGCTGCAGCATAGTATGCCCCGATCTCAAAAATACAGAAACTTCCATTCTAACAGGCAAGTAATTATCGTGCTTCCCTTACTTTCCTTCAAATTTTCTAGAATATTTTGTCATGCCATCAGTTCCTCCCCTCACTAAGGGTTCCTTGGGGCTTTCACATAGCGATAATTTTCTACCATCTGGCACGCCTTGCAGGATCCACACCTGTTACAGCGGAAGAGACCAGTGTTCTAAGCATCACTTTGAACGGGATAAAGCCCATTGCTGAGCTGGAAGCTAAGGATGTCACACATCACCTTCACCTGAAAGATAAAGAGAAATCCTTCCCGCTCACCATGCACATTGGAAATAAAGATTGCAGGTTTTACAATTTCGTGAGGACCTGAGCGTGGTCCAAAGCTCTAGTCAGAGAAAGCCTCTGACAACTTGCACCCACGGATATGTTCATCTTTTCATTCCCAAACTGGTTTTGAATCTCTCTGTGCAGTTAAAATCCATTACCTCCCACTCACAAAGGTAAGAACGGTCAGATTTCAGTCTACAAAGAACAGGCTTCAGCTTTCCTCTCTATTCCCAGATTTGTGGCCGCTCCCCACACAGCTGCAAGGTGACTGTATTTTCACACAGCCTGCAGAAAAAGGGCTCTCAGCCAAGGCACTGTTGGTAAGAAAGCCCAGCGTGGCTCTTTCCAGGGGTGAAGAAGATTCATGGTAGTCAGCACATCCTAAAGATAACATATTCAGAGCCAGTGAGATGGTTTAGTGGGTAAAACACTTGCCAGGAAAGCCTCATGACCTGAGTTCCATCTCCAGAAGCCACATAAAGGTAGAAGGAAAGAACCAACTCCCCAAGGTCATCCTCTGATCTACACACACACACACACTTTGGCATGGGTGCACGCACATATCAACATACACAGATGATGATGATGATGATGATGATGATGATGATGATGATGATAATAATAATAATTTTAAGACAATATGTCCAAGTAAGCATGAATCACACATGACCTCTTAGAACTTTGTTTTCCTAGTTTTACTGCCTCTTTTTATCACCCTGAATGTATAACTCAAAGAACAGCCCTTTACTGGGGGAAGCTATTTGTTTCTTTGGTCTCGTTGAACAGCCCAGCCTGACCTGAAATTTGGTATGTGTTTTGGGCTGACCTTGAACAAGAGACCCACTTGTCACTACTTCCTAAGTGCTGGGATTTCAGATGTGTGGCACTATGCCCAGCTAAACTTTCATTTTAAAGGTTCATTCATTATTCTTACTTTATTCCATGACTATTTTCCTGCATATATGTGTGTATGTACGTATGTACTTATGTATGTATGTATATCACAAGTGTGCCTGGTGCCCACAGAAGCCAGAAGAGGGTATCAGATCCCTGGAACTGAAGTTGCAGATAGTTGTGAGTTGCCATATGGTTGCTTAAGAATTGAACCCACAAGAAAAACAACTGCTTTGAAACCCTGAGAAATATCTCTACTCCCCAGCTAAACTTTTGAAAGTCTAGGTTAAGTCAGAATTTGTTGATATACTTTGTGTTCCTTTCTTCCCTTTATTGGGCTGTAGCAGTCACACGTTATTCCATTGTTCTGAAGCAAAGCTAGACACTCATACATCAAGACAGCAGTGTGGTCACATACACATAGGCATT